GCTTTTTATTACATTTAAAACCTAAATAGCTTGAAGTGTTCACTGGGTCACTGCAGCAAAAGTTGGTACTCTCCGGGTGGCCCTTTCACTTCCCAATCAATGAAAGAAGAGAAGCATGACCTACTGGTTCAATCAATGGAGCTAATAAACCCAGAAGTAGAATGAGCTGTGAGAATTTATAGTTTTCATTCAAAGCGTTCCCATAGAAAAAAAAAATTTCAGGAAATCCCCCTTCTCCTCACCTTTTGTTATTGCAAAATAAACATATTTCCAAGAGTAAGGAGTTTCTGAGCATTTATCTAGAGCTCGCCTAAAGGCACTGAACCATCATCACTCTGCACCCAGTGCTCCCAGTGCCTGTGAAATCAGTTGAGAGCACATAGCCTTCACTTCCACAGCTGTGTCTTTGAATTTCCCTTCGAGGCTCCAATCCTTTTCTCCCTCAGCTCTCCTGTTGTAAGCTTTGATTTGGGCTACCGCAAAGCATGATCTTCCTAAAGGTTATACAGGAAATTAGAAAAAAATTGCCATCTCCATAAAACAACCCAAGCTTGCACTGAGCCACCTCCAGGAGGGGCTGCCAACACGCTAACCAATGGCAAGAGATAGTCTAACATCAATGACTTCAAAGACTTCCCCAAGCAGTAACGACTAGGAAGGAGCACTCCAAAAAGGCATCATGCTCTAGTGTTAAGAGTGTGCAGTGAAACCTGCACAGGCTGCCTATCAGCAGTCGGATCCTGGGCAAGTCACTTGACTTCTCTGAGCTTCGCTTTCATCAGGTGTAAGGTGGTAATGGTAACATGGCCATTCCAGTGACTAGGAGCATAGGCGACGCAAGAATTCAGAAGAATTAACAGAGAGGATCCTGCTCAGAGTGAAAAAAGTCCGTAAATGGTAATAATATTTATATCTTTATTTCCCAAACAGTGCCTTGCACAAAATTAGGGGTAATGAGTATTTGTGGGGAAAAAAAATATTTGTGGAAGTGAGGGATGGGGAAGAGAGATGGGGAGGGAAAGGGAGAGGGAAAAAGAGCTTTGAAAAAAGGTTCAAGGTTAGCATTGAGAGAGGTATTTCACTCTTTTTCTTTTATTTTTTAATTTTTTTTAATGTTTATTCATTTTTTGAGAGAGAGACACAGAGTGTGAGTGGGGAGGGACAGAGAGAGAGGGAGACGCAGAATCTGAAGCAGGCGCCAGGCTCTAGGCTGTTGGCACAGAGCCTGATGGGGGGCTCGAACTCCTGAACCGTGAGATCATGACCTGAGCTGAAGTCGGACGCTCAACCGACTGAGCCACTCTTTTTCATTAATAGCTTTTTTAGTTCTAATATATATTTATTGTAGAAGGTCTTTTAATACCAAGGACCAGGAACATCGTGGAATACTACCCAGCACCACAGGGCCTGCGGATGAGAGTCTTCTGATTGCTGTTGTGCTTGTGATGCCTGTTACAGCAATTACGTTTACCTTGCCCCTTAGAGCTACATGTCATTGCTGGGTCTCTGCTACTCCAGACCCACTCATCTCTGCCAAGACCAGAAAGCCTGGTTCCATGGCGGCTTCTCCCGCCTTCCACCCCAGTCTGCAAAGGACAACCGCCATGGAGCTTCACAGGTGCATTCCTTAGCACTTTAGCGAAGGGAGTCCATTGAACCTCCAGATGAACATAGCCACTGGTGAGTTCTCGGGTCTTATGTAATAAATCCATTCTAGCAGGCCCACTTCCTTGAGCCTTTTATCCTCAAATATCCTTCCAGGACAGTTCTGGCATCTTCTATCCATTAATATAAGCCACATTTCCCCCAAACTTTAAAGAGCCATCCCAATAGCGCACTGGGACCAGATCCATGTGCCCTGGTAAAGATGTTAAATGCTGATTCATGGGTCGACGTCCCCATTAAAAAGCTCTTGTTGGGGCGCCTGGGTGGCGCAGTCGGTTGAGCGTCCGACTTCAGCCAGGTCACAATCTCGTGGTCCGTGAGTTCGAGCCCCGCGTCAGGCTCTGGGCTGATGGCTCAGAGCCTGGAGCCTGTTTCCGGTTCTGTGTCTCCCTCTCTCTCTGCCCCTCCCCCGTTCATGCTCTGTCTCTCTCTGTCCCAAAAATAAATAAACGTTGAAAAAAAAAAATAAATAAATAAGCTCTTGTCCTGTCTTATATTCTGCCACCCTCCCCCTCATCCATTGAGATAAGAAAGTTTGACGCCCTCCAGGTCCATCCTCACTGTGTTCTACCCCATCTCTGTTTACGTTCATCAGGTCCTCAGGAAGCTTCAATGGAAGATCTTGTTCTCCCATCATACAGAGAGTCCTTCCCCAGTGGAGTCATCCTTAGACTTGACCTTAATTATCCATGAGAGGTCATGGGCAGTATTTGAGGAAGGCAGGTATTATCATATAAAACATCTTCTGTGGATGGAGACTCAGCCGGGTCTCAGCAAGGGGAGGCTGATCTCTCGCAAGGAGGAGTGGGCCCCTTCTGTAAGGGAACCTCAAGCTCATCCACTAATTGTCCCCATTCCAGGTCTTCCTGTCCCACTCCTTCCCTAGGAGGACCTTGACTTAAGGATAGAAGACGGCTGGGGATCCAGACTTTTCTTTTTTATTTTCTTTATTTATTCATTTTTAGAGATCGAGAAAGGAAGCAGAGGGGAAGGGCAGAGGGAGAGACAGAGAGAGAATCTCCACCCTCAGCACAGAGCCTCACGTGGGGCTCCATTCCACGCCCCTGGAATCATGACTGAGCTGAAATCAAGAGTCAGATGCTCGACCAACTAAGCCGCCCCCATGCCCCAAGCCTTTTTAATAATTCAGCTGCTCTCCGGCTTAGGTCTGAGGCCTGCTGTTCAGCACAGTCTTTCCTTCAGCTCCAGGAGAAGAGAGTGGCTTCAAATGTGGCTTTTACACCATCCCCTGAGTGCTTCGATTGTACTTAACAACTAACTAATCCCACAGTCCTGACAATTATCATTGTTCCCACATCTCTCCAATGTTAAAGATATTGATTAGCCAGTACATACCTTTCCATATGTATCCCGTCCCAATTCATCACAAGGATTCTTAGTAACTGTGATGCAACAGATGCCTTATGACTCTCACAGCCAACAATACTGCCTGTGGCATCTTGGCTAAGCACCCCAGAAGATAGCTATGCTGGACTTCACCCATCAGCCCCCTCAGACCCACTCTCTGCTCTTATTCAACTTCCTACCCAGGCTGAATATTTATGGACCGAATCAACGAGCTCCCGTGCTCTCCTCCTTCCCATGTACTTCAGCAGAAGATCAGGGCACAGAGCAGAGTGAGACTGGGTATCTTCTCCCCCACCTCCCTCCCTACCAGGCCTTGATTCCGGACCAGCTGGGTCCTAAGAAAGGAAGGTCACAGCTCTCTCTGGGGTCTGATGGTCACTTCCTCTTCTTCTCCTTCAGCCTAGGGATGTTCATTGCTTCTAAACAAGCATTCAGAGTGTTTTATCACCCCTTGTTGGTTTCCTTATCTCTGCCAGCACATTTATAAATAGCGACTCCATTCACTTGTCCTCAGTGTCTGGCTACAGTGTATCCCTCGTTTCCTGCCTGGCCCCTTACTCACGCTGTAGTCACTTCTCAAATTGTGGCAAACCCTTACTGCTTCTGCCCTTTTTCCCTAAGTTTCTTTAAGAAGCCGCCGCTTCTGGGGCGCCTGGGTGGCGCAGTCGGTTAAGCGTCCGACTTCAGCCAGGTCACGATCTCGCGGTCCGTGGGTTCGAGCCCCGCGTCAGGCTCTGGGCTGATGGCTCGGAGCCTGGAGCCTGTTTCAGATTCTGTGTCTCCCTCTCTCTCTGCCCCTCGCCCCCCTCGCCCGTTCATGCTCTGTCTCTCTCTGTCCCAAAAATAAATTAAAAACGTTGAAAAAAAATTAAAAAAAAAAAAAAAAAGAAGCCGCCGTTTCTGTCAGAAAAATTCTGAGGGAAGTTCTTAGGGATGGGTTGAAAACACTTGTGAGGATGGGTTGAAAACACTTGTGAGGTGTCACCCAGGGTTACTCCCAATCGCCACCTACTGTCCGGCCGAGATCCCAGGCTCCCCACTACTTTTTGTGTTAGAGTGTTTTGCCTAACAACAGATCTGCACTAAGGACTGGGGTGGACTTTGCTCCTGTTCTTTGTTCCCAGGTGTTCACCTCAGCATCCCAGTCCTTGACCGTGAACCCCAACAGTCACATTTCTGTTTTCATGAGGACTTTTCCAATTCCTCTCTCAAGGGGGGCTCCTGGCTCCCAGCTGGGATATGCCAAGGATGTGAGTCCAGATGGAGCCACCTTGGGACTTACCATATCCAGTCATTTGTCTGTGTCTCTTACTAAACGTGACATTCTAAATTCGTTTTGAATGTGCTTGCTATTGCTATTCCAAGTCTGTTAAAGACTAAAAAGACTTTTTTGAAAGTTTTCATGAATCCAAAAGACAAAGAACATGCTTTATTGGCATTAACACAGATTTTCCTGGCGTGTTGTGAAAAAAGGAACAGAGTTCATTTCAACCCTCAAAATGTCGGAATTAAAGACACTTGCACAATACCAGAGTTAAAAAAAAAAAAAAAAGTCACAGAGAATCAGCTGCTGTAAGATTTTAGCACAAGGCCTAGATGATCACGGACTTTCCCCCAAGCTAGCAATGCAGTTTTACCCCTATAAACATGCAAAATTTCCAAATTTAAAAAATTACAACTTAAATTTAAAATATGCTAAATGGGAAAGAATATTCGTGATTAATCATTTTGGCCATAGCTTTGGGAGAGCATCCCATGAGTCTAAAACCAGAGTTTAGTTCTGTACATTTTTAAACCTAAGTGATGGATCCAGTTCACATTTTCTCCTGAGTGTTGTTTCATTTTTGTTTTTGTTTTTGTTTTTATCACAAAGGGGCCTCTTCATTAAGGAGGAGCTTCAAGAATTTTGCTCTGGAAAAGAATCACCCAGAACCAAACACGTTTCAATTTGAGCTACTATCGCCCTCCTCTTTTTAATCTGAGCACTTTTTAACCTGAGATAAGTGCTCAAAGACGGAGGGAGTATTTTCTCTAAGGAAGCTTGCAATTGGATTTTCTTTGGGGGCTTGAGGACAAAGCCTTGGTTTTATTAATATCTGGCCCTTTGATCCTAAATCTAGTTGAAGACCAATTGTTAAATAAGAGATGGGAATTTAAAGACTTTCTAGACCCATTTCCTAATTACTCCCACTGCCCTTAAACTATTGGCGTATTATAAATCCAGATTGGAGGAGGATTGTGGTATATACAAATTATGTTCTGAGATTCAAGGCAAAGATAAATTAATTTGCAAGTGTGTGAACCAGAGAAATTATTTCAGCGAAAACACAAATGTTGTTTTGGATTTTTAGCATCAGTATGCTGCCTCTGGGCCTTAGGCCGGAGTTGGGCCTAAGGGAGACGGATAACCTCCTCCACAGGTGGTCAGAATTAAACAGTCCTTGAATCCAGGGGGTATAGCTGCTCAGGTTGCCCGTGCACCTGGGTCCGTGAAGCTCAAAGCTGCCAGCTGTGTTCTGTAGGCCACGCCAGCTTCAGATGGTCTCGCACTCCGTGGTGGCAGTGGAACAGGCCCCGCAGTCGCAGCGGACAGCCACGGGGTAGGTGTAGAAGGGGTCCACTCCAGGGGCGCAATTGGGCAGCTTGACCGTCACCTGTCTGGTCTCATTGTAGGTACAGACTCGATGATGGGCTTCAATGTAGGGGGGTTCCAGAATGGGCTTCTATCCTCACGGGTAGAAAACAGGGAACCCATTAGAACATGCCATCTTGTTTCTTGTCCTCCGTACCATTAATCACTTTCAGAAATTAACTCGTTAGTCATTTGTTTACTTGTGAATCTGTCTCTTCCCAACAGAAAGCAAATTCCTGAGAGCAGCAACCTGCTTTCTGTACCATATCCTGAGCTCCCAAAGAGCCCATGGCACATAGCAAGTGCTCAATAAATATTTAGCAAATGAATTATCCTGATCATTGCAAAAGCCTTCTGACTGGTCTCTCTTCTACCATCACCCCCTATGGTCAATTTACAGCACAGCAGCCCCAAGTGATTCTTTCAAAATGTAAGTCAGATTCCTCTCTCTTCTCTGCTCAAAGCCCCAATGATTTCCCATCTCACTCAGAGTAAAAGTCAAAGACGTTCAGCCTCAAGACCCTCCATCATCTTCCCCACCCCTGTACCCCCTGCTATGTCTCCGGCCACCCTGTCTTGCTGGCTTCCTCACTCTGCTCCAGCCACAGTATCTCCTGATTGTCCCCCAGATCCACCAAGAACAGCAGCGCCCCAGAGTCTTTGGCCTGCTATTCCCAGTGCCCAGCACATCCTTTCCTGACCATCTTATTTATAATCACAACATCCCACCTCCACACCCTGCCACTTCCCACCATCTTCCTGCTTTTTCTTCTGCATAGCACCTGTCAGTACCACGGGACATATTACATTATTTTATTAATTTGTGTTGTATTTTTCCCACTCTAAAAAGCAAATTCCATCACGACAGGGATTTTTTTCCCATTTTACTCACTGCTGCGCCTCTACTACTCAGAGTAGTACCTGTCACCCAGGAGGTTCTCGATAACTATTTGTTGATTTAATGACAGAAAACAGCAAGGCAGCTTCTGGAATGCCCTGTGCGCTGTTCTGATAATCAAAGGATTCACTTCCTGCCTTCAACTCTCGTAAATCTTGAATTCAAAGATAATTTCACGAAGAGCATATAGATCAGGAAATCAGCACAAAGTAGTAGTTAAAATCCCAAACCCTGTAGCGGAACCCCCGTCTTCCAATAATTCACCAATATGACCACCACGAAGGGGAAGAGAAGAGGCACCCACTATGTGTTCTCTAGGCCTTTTAGGAGACATGGAGTTGCTTTGGCCACCTGCATGCAAACCTACAAGAAAGGTGATATTGTGGACATCAAGGGAATGGGCGCTATTCAAAACAGAGTGCCTCACAAGTGTTAACTATGCCAAGACTGGCAGAATCTACGGTGTCACCCAGCAAACTCTTGGCATTGTTGTAAGCAAACAAGTTAAGGGCAATATTCTCGCCAAGAAAATTAATGTACGTATTGAGCATGTTAAGCACTCAAATTGCTGAGACAGCTTCCTGAAGTGCGTGAAGGAAAATGATCAGAAACAGAAGGAAGCCAAAGAGAAAGGTCCTTGGGTCCAGCTGAAGTGCCAGCCTGCTCTGCCCAGAGTAGCACGCCTTGTGAGAACCAGTGGGAAGGAGCCTGAGCTGCTGGGGCCCATTCCCTATGAATTCATGGCCATGAGTGTTGATAAATAAATAAATAACCAAAAGACCATGTTAAAAAAAAAAACAATCTCAAATACTGCAGTCAGACCCTTGACCTTGAGCCCCTGTTCTTCCACTTGCTGAAGACCTTGGAAAGTCCACTTGACTTCTGGAAGCCTCAGATTCCTCCTCTGTGAAACAAAATCTCTACTTCACAGCCGTGTTGTGGAGATACGGTAGGATGACATGCACACCGTACAAGGCCCAGCACCAAGTAAGTGCTCAGTAAATGTAATCTATTGTTCTTATCAGGGTAGTTGCAAGGATAAGTAAGTAACAATAAAAATAACAACTTACAAGCTTTCAAAAACCAACGCCTTCACCTGTATTGGGTAAATAAAATATGTTAAACGGAGGCCCCGGATGAACTTCTTACATGACTGTCGCGGGAATAATGGCTCTGCCTTTGACAAGGACTTCCATCCGATATCACTGCCTCCTCCTACTTTTCAGGTAGCATTTTACCCTCCTCAGTTTGCTGCACGTCCTCTTACCCTCAGTAATTTGGAATCTCAAGCAGGGGTGCCAGGTAAAATCTAAGACACTCAGTAATATCTGAATGTCAAGTAAACAACAAAATTTTTTTTTAGTATAAAGTATGGCTCTACTCATTGCATGGGTAATAAGATGCCTACAGATGCCTTATGACTCTCACAGCCAACAATACTGCCTGTGGCATCTTGGCTAAGCAGCCCAAGATAGGTATGCTGGACTTCACCCATCAGCCCCCTCAGACCCACTCTCCGCTCTTACTCAACCTCCTACCCAGGTTGAATATTTATGGACCGAATCAACGAGCTCCCGTGCTCCCTTCCTTCCCATGTGCTTCAGCAGAAGATCGGGGCACAGAGCACAGTGAGACTGGGGTATTTTCTTCCCTCCCCTCCCTCCCTGCCAGGCCTCGATTTGGGACCAGCTGGGTCCCAAAAAACAATTGCTGTTTATGTGACACTCACATTTAAGTGAAATCATGGTTTGGTTTGACTTGGTTTTTGATAAATCGGGCAACCCTAACCCCAGGCCGTGAACAAAGGCTCTTTTCAGCAATAGTTCCACCTTTGAAGTAAATCCAGCTGCTTTGCTGTCACAGACATCCTCATTTTCAGACATGCTCTCCAGTTAAGTTACCAAAAATAAGCACTTTATATCTCAGAAACTTTTAGATTACTGGGAAAATAAATCTTGGCCTCTTATCTTAAATTCTCTATACATAACCTCCCGGTACCTAGTACACTAAGGGCATAAATAAAAGCTGGCTAACATTAAGGAGAATCTTGTTGTCTAAAGGTCTTGGTGCTTCTATTTCTCCAGTGAGGACACAGTCCCTGACCTCCTGCGGGTGACGAGGATCCAAGTAAAGACATTCATCAATTTTTAAACAGAAGCGAAAACGAGCTGAGTTGAAGGAAACAAGGTTTGAAATGTAGGCCCAGAGAGAGTTCCAAAGACCAGAGAGATGAACTTCGAGTGGGGATAGGCATGGCCAGGCCGAGCCCTGAGTATGAAAAGATCCCAACCGCCCCCCACCCCCGACCCCCGCCCAAGTAAGTTTGATGTCAAGTCATAGCCACAGTATCCTTAGTAATTGAATTTTTATTTGGCTCTTAAGTCTCAAGCCCCTGGATGATGCAAAAATAAAGCTAATTAGGTGGAGTCGTTTTATGTAATTTGGAAATTTTGTCACCAGGACCCAATCCGTTTATGGGGCCATAATTTTATCTAAGTGACAGCAGGTTGCTCTCTGAGTCCCTGAATGGATGGCTGTTTTTTCCAATGGCAGTGTCCTCTCATAGTGTTCACAGACTTCTAAGTTGGCATCAATTAGGTTAAAAGATGTATGACTCCAGGGGCACCTGGCTGGCTCAGTTGGAAGAGTATCCAACTCTTGATCTCAGGGTCATGACTTCAAGCCCCATGTCTGGTATAGAGATTACTTAAGAAAATAAATAAACTTAAAAAAAAAAAGTGTATGCCTCCAGATAGAGGTCAATCCCACATAATTCAACAAATATTTATTGAAGGTCTTTTTCATACATGACACTGCAACAAGGGCTGGCAAAGGCAAAGGAATGAAACTCCACTCTCAAAAAACTTAAAACCTAGCATTGTGTGGTGGGGGAAAAAATAAGGCAACAGGTGAACACAAGTCAGGGGTGGCCAGCAACTCAGAAAACCTCTGGGGAAGGAGTTGGCACTGGACGCAAACATCAAAGAATTTATTTAATAATGACAGATAGACATGAGAAGGGACATGAGAAAAAGACCAAAAGTGAGATTTCATGAGAGGTGCTTAATAAACCTTTTCAAACTCAGTCTGACAAGACCAGGGCTCGGAATATGTACAGACCCCAGGAAAACGGGCAGACTTCATATTGCTGAAGACCTCGGAAGTTGGTTTTGGAATTTGCAGTAGTGGGGAGTCATCTAAGGTTTCTGAGCCAGGGTGATGGTTTTTGAATCAGAGCTTGTGCTTAGTAACCAAGCCAGGCCTCAGTAGAAAGAGTCAACAGTCACTCTGCCGTATGATGGGATAGGGTGCTAAATGGGCCTCTTTTCTGCTCACCTGGCAAACATCTCCTCATCTCAGCCCAATAGGGTTCGAACTTTGTCCAAGATTTGTATCCTCATTTTTAATGCGCTGCCTCTTAAAAGGCTGGATATCATTGAATACAAAGGGACTTCGTGGATCTGTGGATGATAATCCCTGAGGTCCCTAAGAATTGCAATGGGGAGTTGGGGCAGGGTGGGGCTGTGCATGAGCCACTGAGGGAAGAATTGAGGACCTGCCCTCACCTGCTAGATAGTCCAAGGCCTGCCTCTTGGTGACTGGCTGGCCGTATCACAGGTAGAGGAACATAGAGAAGTGTGGGTTACATGCTTGAACCAAGGATTTATCCCTAACTTTCTACTGACTGTCTATGTAACTTTGCAGTCATTTACTCCTTGAATTTCTCCTGCCATCTGTAAAATGGATAGAATAATAGCACATCATAACCCCCTAAAGATGATTCCCAAATATACGACACTGTGTAAAATAAAAATATTAATTTTATCAGTGCTTTGTTACAGGGGCAAGATCACGCTTCTTTCAGATTACTTTTGGAGAATGCTAAATAATTGTTATTTTAAAGAAATTCCACAGAAATGCCCCACTCTACCTCATTTTATTTAAAAAGTGAACACTTAGGATTCAACCCGGGCGGCCGACCCTGAAGGCTTTGCTACCTGGGCTTGTCTTGAGACTCACCTCCCAGGTCTCACAGCGGCCCCAGCAGGCATCCGTAGTGATCCGAAGGCCCCTGCAGCCAGGCTTTTTGGCCAGGAAAGTAAACTCCCTCACGGCACAGCCCACAAAGGTGAGCAGGTTCCCACTGGACGTGCTGAGAACACAGCTGCAGCCAGCTAGGAGGAAGAGGGCCATGGGGCCGAGGAAAAGGTATGCCAGCTTCATGGCGTTCCTTCAGAGAGGGAAAGGGAAGAGAGTTTATTAACAGAGCCAGCGTCCTTCCAGGGGGCGACCAATGATATGATGGTCATTGTCAAAGGCACCTTGCTCTTAGCATTTCGGAAGAAATGAGCCAAGTATGTGTAAAAGCCCACAGACTCCAACACAGGTGCCCGAATTTTCTTCTCCCTGACTCCAGTATGGTTTCCATGGACTCCTTGTGCTCATTAGACACCCAACCCTCCCAGGGCATCCTCAGGCTTTTCCTTGTTGCAACCCAACTGCTGGACTTAACTTATGTGTTCAAGAAGTTTGTTCCAATGGTCTCTTCAAAATAAATTCAAAATATGAGTCACACCAAAAGTAATGCATACCCTAACATAACACATGAAATTATTTACGCTCAGATCTAGGGTACTTGGTGCCATGTTACCTGCCTACACAAAATTACACTCTCAGCGTCGTGGCTGGAAAATCGGAGGGGCGTAGATAAATGAACACTGTATGCCCCAGATGTATGGTTACTAACCCAACCCACCATAAAACATGGGTACGCACAAGATATTATGAAACCTGGCACCTGACTTGGCGGCATCATAAAAATGTATCGTATTAGCTACCAATTGCCTCCGCTCTATGCCTCCCCTGTAATAGGCACCCAGTTGTGATTCAGTTTAAACCTACATATTGGAAAGCATTAGAAGTGTTTAAAACATAATCCCAATTTACTGTCAGGTCTATTCTTTCTGGGTCTTGGTCATTTTCTGTGCTTTTCCACGAGCCAGAATCATTCCCTTCACGTTTGGCCCCCTGGACAGAGCCTACCTGGATGTTAAAATACGAGTGGACACTGCATTTGTGGAACATCCTCAACTTGTTGTTGCTTAAAATCATTCATTACTGCTGCAAAGTTATTTACTTTGAAATCTGATCTCTCGGTCTGATGCACTTCTACCGATCCACTTCTGATCTGTCACCTTAGCAGGGTTCTTCAGACTTCCCTTCTGGTGGAATGAAGTTACAAATATGGAGAAGCACTTACCTGATCTTGCTGGAGCTAACTCCTTTTAAGGTTCACACTTGCACCCAAGATTCCTGAAAATCACGATGAGTGATAGAAGATTGCTCTGGGTAAATGTCTCTACCCTCTGTCACTGGGCTGCTTGACTGCTCAAATATATAGGAAGGGTCTTGTCAATCAAAACAAAAGAGAGGCAGATCCCTACAGGAACCACTAAACACATCAAAGCCTTGGGATAGAAAGCCAGTCTCTATTTTCCAAAACTGATTAACTTACAGGGTGTTGTTTTGTTTCTTAACATCACCTGCTGAAACAGAAAGTTACCTTGGTGGGTGACATAATCCTAGGGAAACAGTCAAAAGTAGTTCACCTGGTTCTCAGGGGAACAAATGCACTGGGGCAAGATGGATTAATTTCCCTTCACGGGCACCACAGCTTTTCCTTCGAAGCAGGAGTCAGTTACTAGCAGCTGACAGCAAACGCTTTCCCTTAATTCACCGAACATTTCAATACATTGAAAATAACAAAACGATAATTCTTCCTGGAAAGAACACAGGATCACTAACTGAAAGGGTGGAAACCAAAAGGAAGAAACCTTTTGAAAGTCTTAAAATCAGTTAAGTATTAGATAGTATTAACACTTTAAAATGAGTCATATAAAAAAAAGTTTGAATGTTTGATGTGATTACCTTCTGGCATGGGAATTAAAGATGATTTTTCATTTCTTTCATATGTTTTTCAGCATGTTTCGCATTTTCTACATTGGGCAGCTTTTGTAACAGAAAATCAATTAATATTGATACTTCAGGAATTAAAATAAACCAATAAGTATACATTTGTGCTGCATGTAATGATATTGAATGGTGTCCTAATAGACATATTTCATTAGATTTCTGGCTCTGGAAAGTCTAAGAATGAAAGAGTATTCTTTATGAGCATGGGACACAATTTCTGTTCCAATCTACAACAGTAGCATACAAATGGATTAAAAACCTCGTTGGTCATGGCATTATTCTGGGTGCTCTAAAAAATAAATGAAGCAGACATCATCCCTGCCCTTAGGAGTTTACATATCACAGCAAATAATGACATAGCCAGAGACATATAAGAAGCACATTAAACAAATAATACTAAATAAAGAAGTTTTTTTAAAAAAAAGAATTCTTATTTTCTGCAAAGAAAAGTGTTCTTTAAATACAAACTACTCATTCAGAGCCTGATTTTTTTTCAAAACACGTAACTACCTCAGTGAATCCATCACTATACCATCAATATACCCGTCTCTAGAGTCAGATTATTATGTGTTTAATAGAAAATTGAACTGGGCTCAGAATAAAGGACTTTCTTCAGCGCTTCAGCCTGTGAGTAGCACAACCAGAACTGGGGTACTGTGGGACAGACTGCTTACCCGGTGCGATCTTCTTTTTTTTTTTTTTTTAATGTTTATTTATTTTTGAGAGAGAGAGACAGAGCGTGAACAGGGGAGGGGCAGAGAGAGAGGGACACACAGCATCTGAAGCAGGCTCCAGGCTCTGAGCTGTCAGCACAGAGCCCAACGCGGGGCTCGAACTCACGAGCTGCACGATCATGAACCGAGTCGAAGTCGGACGCTCAACCAACTGAGCCACCCGGGCGCCCCCGGGTGTGATCTTCTTAACCTGCTTGGCCTAGAGTTCGCCAATGGTGAGTTGCCATCCTGAGCCATGTTTCCAAAGAGGACTCTTCAACCCTTATTGATTAGACTTGAGACATACATAGTTCCATCTGCAATGTCACAAGAGAAGGACAACAAAGAGACACCGAGAGCACCTTTCTTTCACAATCTCCAATTTCCTCATAGCATAGAGCTGTGCATCCCACCTACCTCCCCATCAGCATCAGCCTAATAAGAATGACACCTTATTCTACTGTGTACCAGGATCCTTGGAATCTGCTGTGTTCTCACATATGTTATCTCTCAGCCTTACAATAATTCCGTAAATCAGTGATTCTTTTCTCCCTTTTCCTTTGGGAGAAGTAGAGGCTCAGTTATTTTGTCATCTGCTCCTCTCCAAAGCCTTCGACAGCACTGGGGATGGTAAATAAGCTTGTTTCATCTCTACAACCAAGTGTCAGAAGGTGCTGCTTGGGACACTGTGTCAAGAAGACATCCGAATGGTCACAGTGCGGAGGGCAGAGGCTCATCACCTTCATCACGGTTATGGGAAAGGGGAATGACGTCTGGATGCCACTTTTTTGCAATCCTTGCACTAGGCCACACCACTTGCCTCTCTACAAGCAGAGCGAGAGGTTGCTCTGGGATTTTAAAGGCTACGCAAGGCTCTAATACCTACAGACTATCTTGGTGCCATACTCTGGGCATATGCCACCTTCTCTTCTACCTCTGTTGACGCTTACACCGTTGACGTCACTCTCTTGAGGTAGCAAACAAAGATGTAACTTGATGTCTCCAGGCACAGGCCCTGGAGAGCCTTTTCTTATCTTGCTTTATTTTCAACTTCATATGGATTCATTGTCACCTTGGAGGATAAGTGACGAGAAACAGCGTCCCTGGGGACAAGGAGAGGGGAGAAGGGGCGTAGATGAGCAATCGTCTTGAGGTCTGGGGAGGCAGGACAACAGAGGAGGACTGAGCTGAGTGCCTCAAGGAGGAGACTAAGCAACCGAGGCCTGGCCCATGGAGACAGCCCCAAACGGGGAGTGTCTGGGGGTGGGCAGTGTATGCAGGAGATGAAGACACTACGAGAGCCTGGCGACTCTCTTCCCTGGCTCAGGCATGCTGCCTCTCAGTGGTACAGCTTCCTAGCTGGCTTGGGCAGGTCCCTTCCCTCAGCCTTAATTCCCTCATCTGTAACATGATGGGGTTGAACCCTATGACTCATAAGGTCCTTCCTAACGCCAAGGTAACACCTAACACCTAATTTTTTTTTTTAATTTTTTTTTTAACGTTTATTTATTTTTGAGACAGAGAGAGACAGGGCATGAACAGGGGAGGGGCAGAGAGAGAGGGAGACACAGAATCGGAAACAGGCTCCAGACTCTGAGCTGTCCGCACAGAGCCCGGCGCGGGGCTCGAACTCACGGAGTGTGAGATGATGACCTGAGCCGAAGTCGGACACTCAACCGACCAAGCCACCCAGGCGCCCCCACCTAACACTAATTTAAAGTGTTCTGTGAACAGAACAAGCTGAGGGCAAGTCAGACGGAAAACCCAAAGGGTCCTATTACAATAAAGTCCAGATTTGTGCACAAATCTTGACTCTGACGCTTGCCAACTTGTGATCTTGGACAAGTCTCGTCACCCCCGGGGTCTCAGCCCTCTACAAAACAGAAAATGCCTCCTTCAGAGGCTTCATGTGACGATTCTACAAAATGACACCTATAAATTGCTCATCTCAGTGCTTTTTACATGATAAGCAGGCGACAAATGTTGCTTCTCTTTCTTTCCCGTCATTATTGTGTGTACTTCTAAGAAATAAGAAGCTGCCAATAAGAAATTATACGACGCCAATCGGTGTTACACATACCCTGACCTCAAAGGTACTAAATGTGGAAAAAAGGAAAAAAGTGTAAGTCTGAGAATAGAAAAAGCAGTCGTTGGGGACTATGAGAGCCCACCAGCATCTGAAACCAGGAGAAATGGGGTGGCACCAAAATTGCTTCCCCGGCCAGCCTATGGTGTTTTGATGTGACGCTAAAATTAACAACACATTTTTCAGTAGGAAAAAAGTCTGCAGGGTAAGATTTAGTTTTTTAAGGTCCAGATCTCACACTTTGGGGGTACACTCTTTTTACCATGTTTCTAAAATTCAGTATATGGATAAATCTTCATAAAGACTCCCAAACCATTTCAGTTCTGACCAGGAACAGAGTCAAATTAGCCAAGTCATCCAACATGTACTGAATACCCACTCTGTTCCACAGCTACTCAGTGAGGGCCAACAGGCACAGAGTTGTTGGCTGTATAACTTCCGATGATCTCTTAAGAGTTGAGATGTGCGTGCTTTGATACGTTTTTCCTCATTGTCCTCTCAGAATACACAATGCTCTAACCAAGGGTCAAATCGATTAGCATTATGCCTCCTGTGGATGAATTAAAAAGCCACAAATGAAGCTATGTGTTTCAAGGAATTAATAGAATTAATGATTTTCTGCAAACAGATACAAGAGAGGTCAGCCTTAGATTTTACAAAGTTGTATGTTGCTTTTAATGTCCCTTATTCAGAGGGGGGAAAATCTGGGTTTATAAATGAAGACAAATGGTGACGTCTTGGAAGAAATTAATTTTATTGAAAAGATATTTCTTCCTTTCAAAGTACTGGGTATTTGGGACAGCTCCTCTTTTTATTGACTTAGATAATATTTGCCCTAGATGATGGTGCAGTTGCTATGGTAACTTTTTTTTTTTAACGAGACTAAAAATAATGAAGCCTGTGTCTGATTCACTAGGACAAGTCAAGCCTTTCTCCACAACTGTCTGAAAGAAGTAGCTGTCAGTTGTCACAGATTTATTTCAGATTAAGGGGCACATGGTTTAGGCGCTGAAGTGGAATGTTTTTATTTCCGCCTGACTCTTCCACTTTTGAAGGTCATAGCTTTGCCTGGCATGGCAGACACATGCCTAATAGAGAGGAACGGAGAAGAGCTTAATGAGTCACAAAGAAGCATTCTTTATTTCAAGTGCATCCTGTATTCTCATTGGAACGAGTCCACAAAGCGGCTGGGTCCCCAAATCCTGCATTTGTAATTTCCTAGGCAGTTGCACAGACAAGGCCAAGGCTGTTGTTAGCTCAGCTTCGAAGCAACAGCACCTCATTTGTTAGTTGTTGGCTTGGTTCCAGAAAAAGATCCCTAGGATATGGCCCCAGAGTGTGCGCGTGTGCCTTTGTGTGCCCATGCTTGGGCTTGAGTGACGGAGCAGGGCAAAGGGAGGATGGGGCCAGAGAAGAGAAGAGCTGCTCTACTCTCTAGAATATTCATTGCATAATGTAGCACATAGTTAGTAAGCAACTACTCTGTGCTGGGCACTATCCAGCCCTGGAGCTACCGGACTCATTAAAAAAAAAAATGATGTTGGGAGGTCTGGAAGTGGAATAGCTAACAACTTAAGGGAAGGATAGATTTCTCTCCTCCTTCCCTTTCTTTATCTTTTCTTTCTTCCTTTCTTCTGCCCTTCCATATTTTTTATTGAATATCACCATATGTCACACAAATGCTGAGTATATGTGATGCAAATCCAAATGGAGCTAAGAACCTGTCCTCAA